TTTTTTTTTGAGAGGGAGTTTCACTCTTGTTGCCCAGGCTGGAGTGCAATGGTGCAATCTCGGCTCACTGCAACCTGTGCCTCCCGGGTTCAAGCAATTATCCTGCCCCAGCCTCCCAAGTAGCTGGGATTACAGATGTGTGCCACCACGCCTGGCTAATTTTGTATTTTTAGTAGAGATGGGGTTTCACCATATTCGTCAGGCTGGTTTCGAACTCCTAACCTCAGGTGATCTGCCCACCTCGGCCTCCTGAAGTGCTAGGATTACAGGCGTGAGCCACTGCTTCCAGCCCACAGATCTCTCAAGGAACTAAAAATTGTAAATGTTTTTCTAACTCAGGTAGGTGCTGTTGTGCTCATTTTGCAATTAAGACACTGAAGTCAAATAACTTGCCCCAGGTTACCCTGCTAGTAATAGGTAAACTCCGAAGACTGTGCTGTGAAACACTACATTTTGCCCTAAAAGTTGGCGTTTGCCAGGACTCGAGTCCTCTTCTACTGAACAGTCTCCCTCTGGGCTTTTCCCTCCACTTCAGGACCTGTCTGCCCAACCCAGGCCTTTCTCTTGAGCTCCAGGCCCACTTAACCATCAACTACTAGGAAACTACACTTGAATATCCCACTGGAACCTCAATATCAACTTGTCCAAAAGGGAATTCGCTGTGGCCCCCTGAATCTCTTCCCATATTTGCAATGCTAAACAGCCAATCATACCTCCATTCACCCAAAAATCCAAACCACCCGGAAGCACCTCTCTTTTTCCATCTTCCACGTTCAACTGATAACCCCTTTCCTGCCCCTTCAATCTACTCCGGGTCCATTGTCAGTTTTTTCACATTACTACCTATGGGATCTTTTAGAAATGCAACTATTACAGCAGTCCCATTGTGAAGAATCCACCAGAGGGCCCTTGGTCACAATAAAGTAAAGGGTCCTTAGCATGGCAGGTGGGGCCCTTCATGATCTGACTCCCATTTATCTTTTCAGACTCATCTCCCTCCACCTACCCGGCTGCTATGATTCACAGTTTCAACCCACGAGACTCATGATGTAATGTAATAAAGGACGACCAAGGTTATTCCCTCATGTTTCTAAAACAAACGTGTGTTAACTGTAAATAAATACAAACATGCATACATATATACAAAAACATTTAGGTATAATCACAGGAAACACCTAGGAAGTTTTAGCAAGAACTTGTATTCAATTCTAATATACATTGTATTAATGTATTAGTCATTAGTTATAGTCAATATCTTAGAACATAAAGCCTACGGAAATTAAGTGCACCAGAGTAGAGCCAGAAATCAAAGTACTCTGACTACTGACAAAATAACCCCACACCCACAACAGTGTCTATTTCTTTTTTTTTCTTTTTTTTTTTTTTTGAGACGGAGTTTCACTCTTGTTGCCCAGGCTGGAGTAAAATGGTGCAATCTCAGCTCACTGCAACCTGCGCCTCCAGGGTTCTAGCAATTATCCGGCCTCAGACTCCCAAGTATGACCTTTCAT